GGGTCTCTGGGGTATGCTGGAGGTTTGGAGGGATCCCAGCAGGGTTGTGGGGCTCCCTCCCTTCATTTTGGGGTAAAATCACCCGTGTTTGGGTTATTTGTGGTGGCAGATTGCTGAAATTCAAGAAGAAGAAACACTTAAAAGCGATAACTTTATGCGGATGGTGCTCAGCACCATCTCCCTGTCATCTAATGAGCACCGGCTTCGTTAAAACACCAAATATTTTTGGGCAAAGTGCCATTAATTTAATTACCCCGGTGGTAATGACCCAGGGGAGCGGGATGTAGCAAAGTTCTCCTGTTCCCACAGTGACTGGGAGGGTTCAGTACACCCCTATGCGCTCATCAAAACACTGTTTTTTACCAAAAAAATCACTTTTTTGCAAGAATTTTGGGCAGACCCTGCTTCTCACCTGCAACTTTTCTTTTTTTTTTTCCTGTGGGCTTTACTATTCATTTCTGGGGAAAACTCTTTGCTGTTGGTGAGCGGAGCTTTATTATTTGTTAAAATAATTTAGTGAAAATTCCCTTTTTTTTGCTGCTTCTCGCCGCAGAGGAAATCGAGCAAAGCCAAGGAGAAGAAGCAAAAGCGCCTGGAGGAGCGAGCAGCCATGGACGCCGTCTGCGCCAAGGTGGAAGCCGCCAACAAAGTGAGTGTCCCCCTCCTCGCTGGCAGGGTGAAAAAACAGGGTAAAAACCCACAGAATCGGCGAAAAAAACCTCCCCCGCCACAAAGCAGGGTCTGGTGGGTGGGAACGAAACTTCCCCGCTTGTTTTTTGGGGTGCTGTTTGGTTTTTTCCAGCTCGAAGATCCCCTCGAAGCTTTCCCGGTTTTCAAGAAATACGACCGGAACGGGTGAGTGTTGCCTGTTGCGGTGTTACCGAGGTGGTTCCCGGTGCCGCTGGCGTATTCCCCGGTGCCGACGCCGTTTCCTTCCCGACATCTCCCGTAGTTTGAACGTCGCCATCGAGTGCAAGCGCGTCTCCGGGCTGGAGCCTGCCACCCTCGAGTGGGCCTTTGAGCTGACCAAAGCCAACATGCAGACGCTGTGAGTCGTGCTCCGATGCCGGTGGAGCAGCCCGTTAGCACGGCACGGGGCGGCACAACCGTAGCACCGAGATCCCGGTACCACGTGGGGAGGGCTCACGGCTGCTCCAGCCCCTCACCGGGCTCTGTGGGGAAACCTTCGCTCACTGCGATCTGAAATTGTTGGGGCTTTGGGGTTTTTTTCTCCCCTAAAATGATAGGGGTGAGTTTTTTGTGCCCCAAAATTGAAGTGGTGTTTTTTTTCGCTCCCCCAAAATCGTGGGGGATTTTTTTTTTGTTCCCTCCAAATAATTGGGAGATTTTTTGTTCCTCTGAAATCATAGGGGATATTTTTTTGCTCCCCCAAAATAATGGGGAGATTTTTTACTCCTCCAAAATCATGGAGGATTTTTTTGCTTGCCCCAAAATTATTGGGGGATTTTTTTTTACTCCCCCAAAATCGTTGGGGAGGGATGTTTTTGGGGTCCCCAAAATCATTAGGGTGGAGGTTTTGCACCCAAAATCATGGAGCTTTTCTTTTGCCCCCCAAATTGTGGAGGTTTTTTTTGCCTCAGAATTGTGGTGGTGTTTTTTATTGCCCCCTAAAATTATTTAGGGGATTGTAGGGCCCCAAAATTGTGGGGGTTTGGGTTTTGCTCCCTAGATTGGTTGAGCGGGGGGTCTTTTTTTGCCCCCGAAGATTGTCGGGGTTTGGGATTTTGGTGGGTTTTGCCCTAAAATCCTTGTTTTTCACCCCAAACGGGCAGATACGAGCAGAGCGAGTGGGGCTGGAAGGAACGGGAGAAGCGAGAGGAACTACGGGACGACCGGGCCTGGTACCTGATCGCCCGCGAACCCGGTGCCGGCCCCGTCGCCTTCTCCCACTTCCGCTTTGACGTCGAATGCGGCGACGAAGTTCTCTACTGGTGAGTACCCCTGAAAATGGGGTAAAAAAAAAAAAACAAAAAAGGGGTCTCCCCCACTTTATAACACCGCGGCGGGGGTGTCACGGTTTATCCCCACAGCTACGAGGTGCAGCTGGAGAGCAGAGTCCGACGGCGAGGGCTGGGCAAGTTCCTCCTACAGATCCTCCAGCTGGTGGCCAACAGGTGACAAACCAACCTCTTTTTTGGGGTAAAAACAGGCAGTTTTGGGGCTGAGCGCCCCCCTTATGTCTTTTTTTTTTCCCACCCTTCCCCTCCACCAGCACGCAGATGAAGAAGGTGATGCGGACCGTTTTTAAACACAACCACGGCGCCTACCAGTTCTTCCGAGAAGCGCTCCAGTAAGTGTTAAAAAAACAAACACAAACCCAAATTTGCTTGATTTGACCCCGTTTTGCAGTCCGGGGTGGTGTGGGGGGGGAGGAGGAGGATGAAGGGGGGGTTTTATCCGTCCGTCTGTAACACGTTGTTCGCACGACTGTCTTTTCAGTGCGCTGACAACGTGCCGGGGCCGGGCGACGCGGGCAGGCGGGGCAGGGGCAACCGAGA